CCCCCTCACCTCCCCACAAAAAAACCTAGTAAGCCTTTGAGGGCCCCAAATCGTTGAGCACCTAAAAGGAATCAATGACTTCTGGGTTTCCGCACTTCCCATTCACGATTCCGAGGCTTGCGCAGGGCCTCCAAGGGAATCCCTGGACGCAAGAAGCGACCAACATGATATTACATGAGTTGGCCGATCAAGCCTAGCTAGAACTTGAGCGCGAGCGAAGAGCGCGCGATGGTGCATATACGTAGCACCCCGCAACTGCGGATAAGATTGAGGGGGCGGGCGCGGGCGACGCGGGCGTCGAGCCGGCGGACCGCCGCAGGCGCCGAATTTTTGGTTTGTTCTGTGAACGTAGTTTGGGTCGCCGAAAGGTCGCGGGTGTGAATCAAGCTCACTCCCCAGGAATGTACGAGGGCCCGAGAGGGTTTCCCCAGAAGCCTCGAGGGGCCTGCGGTTTCATTCCTTGCTCGCCGCTGCCACTTTTACTTCTCAGGGCCCTTGGCCTTAGTGCTACGCCAGTTGTTCGAGCCGCGCTCACAGCAAAAGCATCCCCGGCGCTGCGCGCCGATCTAGTGCTACGCTAGTTGTTCGAACCGCGCTCACAGCAAAAGCATCCCCGGCGCTGCGCGCCGATCCATATCACAGTGGTAGCGTGGAGCGAGGCCGTTCCCCTATCCCGGCGCTGCGCGCCGTACATACTGTAAGACGGCGTCTGCGACACGTCTTCCTGAATCGAAGCCCAGCGGCGACGCTGCACGCATCGGGGCGTACGCACGCCTGATCACGGCTGCACGACCAGCGCGATGCCTTGGCAAGATCCACGCCGTCCTTCGGATCCGTGCCTCACATTTCAATGGCGCACGACGGATCGGACCAGAACTGGAATCCAAAAGTCACATCGTCCAGGAATCGAAGCTCCTAGGTTGCCGAGACCTCTCAGGGGCCACTGACCACTCCGGGGAAATTGGCGCGACGCCCCGGGACTTCCGAACCCGCCGGCCTTGAAGGCGGCATGATTCCATGCTTTTCCGCAAGCGCAAAACGCGCTGCAGCAGCAGTAGCATGGCTGATGGGGCAACGTCGGGCCTCCCCTCCGACGAAGTGCCACACAGCATCCACGGCAAGGAAAATCCGCCCACCCCTTTGGGTGACTAACGTGTGAAGTCGCTTCCTCCCAAAATCCCATCGGCGGAGGACGGACACCTCGCCTCGTGCAATGCCCAGCTCAGAACCCTCGCCCGTTTGACAAGTGGACCCGATTGACAGATGTGCCACTCGCAACCGAGAGGGTTCGAGTCTCCCTGGTCTGGCAACAAGGAGGGTTCCAGTTCCCCCGAAACTGGCACCAAGGAGGGTTCCAGTCTGCCCGAGTGTTCATCTGGCAAGCGACACGAAATTGTCCAATGGGTCATCGGCGACAGCATTGACAGGACATCTCTGAGCCCAGAAAGGGGAGATCTCGGGCGAAATTGGCTGAGCCACCTCAGGCGTGGGCTTCCCCGAAACACACAATCACGAGTCCACGGCAGCTACAAACTATGAGTCCACGGCAGCTACACACACAGAACCTCAGTGACCCCTTCGGGGATGGGGTGCTCGCTGCTCCGGGAGAATATTTGCCACCTCGCCCAATCCACCGACCGCTAACCCATGTCACTGCTACACCCCACAATTCCAACCAAAAACAAATAGACAAAAATGGTCCACCACGAAATCCCAGCGAACAACCAAGAGGCTGCATATCTCAAACCTAGGCACAGTGGCGGAAGGCCATTCGATAGAGAAGAAACGAAAGTGCAACAGAGAATCATGAGTCCAGAGGGCGAGGCTCAGGCCTGGATGTCTCACCTGAACCCTTTCTGCCGTACTCCGATAGGCAGCCCGACAACAAACGAATCAAACGTACGGCGCTCACTTGGGACCCCAGGATACGTTTGGCCGCCCTGAAGATCCAAGAACGCCGGTATTCGACCCCCAAACCTCCCGGGAACTTCGAGGTTCGGGAGCGGTTGCGGGCGCTTTGGGACTCGGGTTGGCCTCCTGGACCCTTGCCGTCGTCACCGCCCAAACTGGACGTGCGACCCCCGACAGGCGAGAGCAGTCGCCGAGCCTGGAGGATGGAGGCTCCACCTCCTCCTCCTCCTCCTCCTCCTGCCCCTCCGCCGCGCGATGAAGCTGAGTCTCCCGGATGTCCTATTCCAACTCCTCCCCGGGCTCCTCCTCCTCATCCTTATCCTGCTCCTCCTCCTCCTTCTCCTTCTCCTCTTCAACATCATCCGTGACGAATCCGCCACCGTGCCTTGGCACGGGTTTCTTGGCGCCGCGGACCGTCGTGACGCGACATAACCCTGTCACGAAATCCTCCCCAGATCGGCGTCCAACGTCGGAAAATGACAAAACCACGCGAACCACTGAGAGAGTTTCCGTTGCGCCTCTCGCGGTACATCTAATGAACGCCCCCTCGGCCAGCCAGACGACGGGCATGTCAGCCCTTCGGAGTCTCGACTCTCACTATCGGCCCCTGGACCCCGAGAATAGCCCAACAGGCTCACAAAAATACCACAAGACGGCGCACGTGTGCCGCAGGACAACACACCCATGAAGGCCGCATGACACCCTCAACCGGCCTGAGAAGACCCACCGAGACCCCCTTTTCTGGGTCGGCGGCAGAGGCGGCAGCCTTTAGATAGATCCTCCTCCTCCTCCTCCTCCTCCTCCTCCTCCTCCTCCTCCTCCTCCTCCTCCTCCTCCTCGCCTTCTCTTTCGGACCAAAAGCGTGCAAAAATGTACCTCTAACGCCCACTCTGCGCAGGCACGGAGGCGAATATATATATATAATATATATATATATATATATATATATATATATATGTATATTTGTGTGTATGTATGTATGTATGTATGTACGTATGTATGCAAATACAAACATACATACATACATACATACATACATACATACACACAAACCGACAGGCAAACAAACAAACATACATACATACATACATACATACAAACATACCTACATGTGTGTGCGCGTATATATATACAAACAGACACACAGACACACAGACATACATACATACATGCATACATACATACATACATACAAATATATACAAACAAACATACAACATATAACTATACATGCGTACATGCAAGCATGCATGTATCCACATACATACGTACACATACACATGCATACACACGATGGGTTTTCATACATATTACAAATGTGCATTATAACAATCATATGGCGTAACACGCAATAAGCTGCTATAGTATGCTTAAATTAACTAAGCTAGTATAAATGTATACATATATTAAAATGTGTATATCATATATATACACATACAAATTATGTCAACGTACAAATACTTCTCCAAAGAGAAGACGCAATAGTTGGGGATACGGAAATGTAATGTAGTATGCCAGCATATACGAATTACTATAATATAGTAATGTATGCAATATACCAAACTACGATAACTATGATACAACGCATTACAATACAATACAGCACCATATAACTCAATATGGTAAGACATTTGACTAGAACCACGCGCGCGCTTCGCGCGCGCTTAGGTTCTAGCAGGCGCAGGCGCTTGACAATACCACGGCTGCGCGCATTGACAAAGTCACGGCTGCACGAATGCACGCACCGACAAATGACTTCAGCATGGTTTGAAAAATCAACACGAGCCTGGCCCCAGCAGAGAAGGGTCTCTTGGGCGCCGCCGGGGGTTGGTCCAGGGTTTTGCTGGGTGTTTGCGGCCCATCTCACTGTGGAGTTCACGGTGTACACGATCAGTACTCGATCAAGCGAGGCCATATGTATGGGGGAGCGGGCAAGGAGGGACTGAGGGGAGGGGGGCGAGAGAGAGGAGGGCAGATAAAGAATGGAACCGATGCCCCAGCGTCCGCTTGCGCCAGAAACGAACGCGCCGGATGGCATGACCCACTGGGAGACTTTTCTGACGGAAGGGGAGAGGAGAAGGAGGGCGGTTCCAGGAGAGGCCCTGGGAGGGCGCCAAGAACGCCTTGAACGACTACAGCAGGGCGCGACCTGAAGTCACGTGAGAACCTCCAAGCGCGTCTTGTTTGTGGACCCCGTTGGGGCCTTCCTCCGGGCACCTGGCCTTCTCTTGACGGCTCTGGAGGGCCAGAGCCACCTCAACAGGGCCAGAGCCACCTCAACAGGGTGGTGGAAGCCCACGGCGGCGGGTGGGGCCGCGAGGCACGCAGGGCCTTCGGGGTCCTGGCCAAGCGGGTGGCTGACGCCACGGGGGAAGACGCCGCACTGGTTGCGGACCAACATGCCCAGCGACTTTCCGTCTCCCTGCACAGGGAGAACGCGCGGGCGGTGTTGCGGCGCCTTCAGACCCTGTCTGGAGGGGCGGGGGGGGCAGCGGCCCGCCTGGCCGCGGCCACGGCGGCCTCCACGGCAGACGCCGTGTGAGGTGCCCCCTGCGCTGCCTAGCGCCCCCCGCCCACCCCCCCCGCCCTTGCTGGGCAGCGCGGGCGCCCCCCTCGCCCTTTCACCAACGTCGCGCCGGCGACCCCTCCCACGCGCCGCCCGGCCTTTCCCCGGCGGGGCGGTGGATGGATCCCGCAGAGGGCAATCCCCACCAAGCCGCATCGCGCTGGGTTCGGGCGGCCATCGCGCTGGGTTCGGGCGACCTGGGCGGGGTGCACCCCGCCCAGGTCGCCGCCGTAGGGTCCGCAGCCTCGTCGCGGGCGGCTCTTCTCTCCCGGCCCCTGGCCCGGCCTGTCTGCTTGCGGCCGCTGCTTTCTCTCCTCCTTGTCCTCCTCCCCCTCCTCCCCCTCCCTTCGCTTCTGCTCGTTGCTTCCCTCCCTTTCCTTTCCTCCTGCTCCCTGCCTGCTGTCTCCGCCTGGCCCGTCTTCTGCCTGCCCGCCCGCCCCGCCGGCCCTGGCCTCCCGCCTGGGCGTTCGTCGTCGTCTGCCTGCTTCTCCCCTCCTCGTCCCCTTCCGCCGGGCAGCACAGCCTGCCGGAACCAGCGTGGCGGCATATAGTCGCCCACAAAAAGGCGAACTATAATCTAGTTTGCCATTCTGCTACCGCCATTGGGCCGCGACTCTTCGGAGCCCGCGCAGGGCCACTCCTGCGTGCAGCCGACTCGGGGCGGCCGCCGGGCCAATGGAGCCCGTGGGCAGCCGCTCTGCCGAGCCTCCCGGGCCGGCGCCCTCGGGCCGGCCGGCTGGCGCATGTCGGGCATTGTTGTTCGGCCCCTCTCCTCCTGTGAAGGCGGCTGCTGCACGACTGATCCGCATCCAATCCGACACCGGGTTCCAACAGTGTCCCGAACAGTGCAACACAGGCTCAACATGAAGTCCTGCGGAAAACGCAACATAATCCAACGGGTCATTAGAGCGGAGGTGGTTTAGCGCGTTTCTTCTTCCAACCCTTTTCTTTCCCTTCGGGGAGGGGCTGACTCCTCCCTCTACCCTCTCCCCCTGGACCTGAGGGGGAGGGTCGCGGGTCATTGGGGCGTCCAAGATGGCGCCAAGAGGGCCTGCGAAAGCCCAAGATTACATTCAAGATACCCCGAGATACTCTAAGATCGCTCTCAAGATGGGTTCTCACATGCTCGAAGCCTCCCAAGGGGGCCCCCAAGAGACCTCTTGGGGCCTTTTGGCGGCCTCTTGGGGGCCTATTGGGGCGGAAATCTCCATTGTCGATTCGTGTTGCCCCTCTTTGGCACCTCTTGGGGCCGTCTTGAAGCCTTGGGCCGTCATGGGCGCCTCTTGGACCGTTTGGGCGCCCTCTTGGGCTGTCTTGGGGGCCTCTCGGAGGCCTTTTGGGCCGTCTTGGGGCGATGTTCGAAGCTTCCTCGGCAATCTTGGAAGGTCAGAAGCCCGAAAACGCGGGCAAGCCAAAAACATTGGAAAGCAATGAAAATCTATGATTTTTGCCTCTTGGGGCTCTCTTGGAAAGCCTCTCGGAGCGCCCCTGGGGCTTCTTGGGAGCCCCTTGGGGCTTGATGGGGCTATCTTGAGAGTCTTGGAGCGCTCTTGGGCCGTCATGGCGGCTTCCTGCCGCCCCCAGAAGCCGCGGTGGACGCCTCCGGGGGCGCAAAAGAGCCTCCGGACGCCCAGGGGCAAAGTGGGTTACGGGGGGGGGGGAATTCGGGAGGGTCTCCCGGCCCGGGTCCCTGGCCCCCGGTACCCCGGTATATGATGTATAATACCAAGTGACAGACTTTCACATAATAAACATTAATTGCATAAGACCCAAAAAACTAATACAGCACATAAAAAACTTGCGAAGGTACGATATAATTTCAATACTATAGTGTCATACGACATAGCATATCATAATCCGCCGGCCACCTTGTGGGGCCACCAGGCTGTAGGCGCGGGTTCGCAGTTTCCTGTACCAGTTGTAGCTTGTAGTTTCCAGTGTTACAGTTCTGCTTCTTGCTGGTTACTGTAACTAGTTGACTTCTTGCTGGTTACTGTAACTAGTTGATTGACCGCGCGAGGGGGGGGGAGGCCCAAACAAGACTTTTAGCGTCCCCTGGGCGCGTTGTCTGAATTGCTGGGGGGGCTCGAAATCGACACCCCTCACGCAGATCCGCGGGGTCAGGGTCCAAAAACACAGGGATTTGCCACATTTCTGAAATTCGGTGCCACCCCTCACGCAGATCCGCGGGGTCAGGGTCCAAAAACACATGGGATTTGCCACATTTCTGAAATTCGGTGCCACCCCTCACGCAGATCCGCGGGGTCAGGGTCCAAAAACACATGGGATTTGCCACATTTCTGAAATTCGGTGCCACCCCTCACGCAGATCCGCGGGGTCAGGGTCCAAAAACACATGGGATTTGCCACATTTCTGAAATTCGGTGCCACCCCTCACGCAGATCCGCGGGGTCAGGGTCCAAAAACACATGGGATTTGCCACATTTCTGAAATTCGGTGCCACCCCTCACGCAGATCCGCGGGGTCAGGGTCCAAAAACACATGGGATTTGCCACATTTCTGAAATTCGGTGCCACCCCTCACGCAGATCCGCGGGGTCAGGGTCCAAAAACACATGGGATTTGCCACATTTCTGAAATTCGGTGCCACCCCTCACGCAGATCCGCGGGGTCAGGGTCCAAAAACACATGGGATTTGCCACATTTCTGAAATTCGGTGCCACCCCTCACGCACATCCATCGCAAGGCGTGGTAACCCAAACTGCGAGTACTCCCTCGGCCCTTTAATCCCAAGGTGTGGTAACCAAGCTCGTAAACCATACACGTCTTACCAATCGCCCTGTGTGGTAACCCCTCTTGTGATCAGTTGGTTTTGCCGATTGCGAATCGGCCTCGCATGAAGTTCCGATACTGCTGCACGACAGCGCCAAAGCCTCATGACTTAGCTCTTCCATGGCCCATTCTCCGAGAGAGGGGGCCGGCGGCAGGGGGCGAAGCCCTTACGGATATTATATATATATATATATATATATATATATATATATATATATATATATATATATATATATACATACTAGACTATGACCTGATAAAATGAAATGCGATATTATATGATAGTCTGCAGAATATACTATAGTGGCAGATGGTAGATTTTAATATGAAACACTCTGGACCACATTATAGGATATACCGGCGGACTGGGTCCCCGGCCGCCAGGGCAACTCCCACCCCGCTTTCGGAGGGCCCGAAGGCGCTCTCCAGACGGTCCAAGATGCTCCGACACGGTCCAAGAGCGTGCCAAGCTTCCCAAAATAATTTCTAGACGACCCGAGAGACCCACAAATCCGTGAAGAGGCCTCCAAAAGGACACTGTACAGGACCGCAAGATACAAACATCGCCCCCTTTCTGTGGGGAAACGTATACTTGTACCAACTTGTTTTTTGGTGCGACAAGCGTGCGTCCACGACGGCATGCATCCGAGAACCCCAAGATCGCCGCAGGACGTCCCCAGAGGCCTCCAAGACGGCCAAAGAAGCCCTTAAGATCACCCCAAGACGTCCCACAAGGGGGCCTCGGACCCCCTGAGGCACCCAAGCTGGCCCAAGAGGCTCCCAAAGCGCCGCAGGTTGTCTGGAAGATGGCTGAAGAGCGCACTGATATGGCTTCCAGGAGGGCCCACGAGCGCTCAAAGACAGCCCGAGACTCACAGGAGGCCCAAAATTGTAGGCCGACAGACTTCCGAAGAGACTCTACAACCATGAAGCCTCTGGCCCACTACCCAGGCGCATTCGCATGAACGGCCACAAACCACCAGAGAGCCGGATAGCCCTCAAGGAATCCAGAATTTTAGATCCGGGTTCCAAATGCTTTATTCGCGAACGAAGCGTGTTCATCTCTTGTTCAAGTGCACCGTCAAACAAAGCCGGGGTATTTCGTCGCGTGGCACTGCCCAAGATTCGCGATGCATGTCGGGTAGCGGTTGACGTGGCGCAGTGGCGGGGTGGCCATAACCCGTGGCCGTGGCCTTGGTGGCCATAGCCGAGGCCGTGATGGCCGTCAGTGATTGCCGTCGCTGTCATGGCGGTCGCCGTGACCGTGCTGGTGGCTGTAATAACGGTGGCCGTGGCTGTCGTAACTCTTGGCCCTGATGCAGTCGTGGCCGTAGTGACCGTGGCCGTGATGGCCGCGAGGTGGACGAGTGGTCCAGCGTACCTGCAGCCTTGAGAATTGTACAATCGAGTGCGTCATAATGGACTGCGTTCTCAGAACAAATTGGAAGCCGCCGGTGAAAAGTCAATCAGGACCACCGGCACCCTCAGAACACGCCAAATGACTGCCAGATCATATGGAGGGAGCGCCTTGAAAACTTGCACAATTTCTTTTTTGGCTTTTGTAGGATTACAGTTTCTGGAAATATTTTGATCGAAATCATGCACCTAGAGTCCTGAGGATTGCATCATTGAACGCGCCATGATCGACTGGAGGAAAAACATCATGATTATTAAACGAATTGTCGAATCTCTGAAGATATTCCAAAACCTATTCCCGGGTCATCACATCGTCCGTTCCAGCCGCATCGACCCACTGGCAGCCGGCGGTAAACCGTCAACCACGTTACCGCAGGGACCCTCGTAGAGCTCTAAATGCGCCAAATGAGTGCCAGACAAGAAGTAGTGAGCATCGTCCCAAGTTAGCTTCAAAACTCGCCAAATGTATTTCGGCTCCAGGAAATGATTTGATCGAAATACTGCACCTAGAGCCCTGAGAATTGCACCATGAAACGCGCCATGATCGATTGCACGGCTCAACAATCTGGATTCTCGAAACGAACTTTCAAATCTTTCACAATCTCGAAAAAAACGCCCCCAGGTCATCACATTGCCCGTTCTGGCGGGGTCGACCAACTAGCTCCACCCCGCGCCCAAATTCCTCTTAGCTCATCTCGTCGAAGAGCTCTACGAGGTACTAGCTCCATCCTGCGCGCGATTTCCTCTAACCTTAGATTGTCGAAGAGCTCCACGAGGCATGTTCGAATCTCTGACACTCTTCCGAAAACCGATCCCAGGTCCCGGGAGCCGGCGGCAAACCGTCAACCAGGTTACCGACAGGATTCTCGTAGAGCTCTGAACACACCAAATCAATTCCAGATAACCAGGAAGAGTGTTCTCGAATGTCAGCTAGAAAGCTCGTAAAATATATTTCTAAAAGTTTTTATACGAAGTTGGCTCCTCCAAGTATTTTGATCGAAATACTCCACCTACAGCCCTGGGAATTGCACCATGAAAGACGCCATGATCGACTACAGGGAACGAGAATCTCGATTCTTGACACAAATTTTCAAATCTCTCACAATCTTCGAAAAACCGACCCCAAGTCATCACATTGTCCGTTCTGGCCAGGTCGGCCAACTAGCTCCACCCCGCGCCCGAATTCCTCTTAGCTCATCTCGTCGAACGGAGGCACATTGTCCGGCAGAGCCGGGTGGGTCTACTGGCTCCGTCCCCGGCCGGAACTTGCAGGGCCCAAAACCCGGATAGCGGGCTCACAGGGGCGGAAGAAAGAACCCAGGAAAAGCACTGGGAGCCGGCGGTAAACCGTCAGCCAGGTTACCGCCGGGACCCTCGTAGAGCACTCAATAATCAGCGCCTAGATAACGAGGAGAAAGATTCCTCGATTTCAGCGACACTTGCAAAAGATATTGTTTTGGATGTTTGGATGTTAAAGAAAGTCGGTTCCGCCACGTGTTTCAATAGTAATACTGCAGCTACGGACCTGAGAAT